CCGGTATCGGGCAGCCGGGACGCATCAGATCCCTCGATCATTGTTGCCCTTCAACCAACAGCAACAACATTTTGTCCTGGGCCCCACAGCACAATTACACTGGTCACATTTATTGTAACTTTCCAATATCTCTGCTACTTATAAGTCCTTATTTACTTACTATATAGTTGTCCTCTGCTGATTTCTTCTTCTTAATGGTAGGTGTAGTTTGCATGAAGGATTTATCCTCCCGATGACTGCAAGAGTAGAAATGAGAGATGCGTCAGTGTTGAGAAAGACAAGGTTTCAAGAGCTTTTGTTGTCTTGTGCTGGAGATATAGGAGCGGCGACTAAACAGAGGCTTGTGTTAAGAGGGACACTTGCCACACTGTGGGGCAGGGTGCTATGTTTATGGCATTAGCTGATCCTATAGTACTCGTGCGGAGAGGCAGTGGTTTTCTGTGTTTGGCTGCTGCTGGCGCCAGGTATAAATCTGACACAGGTCAAATGTGGCCCAGACAGGAGACATCTCCCGTCATGCAGGGTGCAGTCGAACCTCTACAGATCTTCAGTATCAACTCTTGATACTGGTAATAGCTCAAAAGGGCCACCACTTACGGGCTATTCATGCCCGTTCCACCTTTTGGGGTCCTTAATCTCCATCAATCAATCAATGTGGCCCAATTTGTTGGTCGACTGGAGATATTTAGACAGTGTTTTGACTATTTGACACTTTTCATGTAACGAGAGGTCACCTCCTAATATGTTGTTGATTTAGGGGCGACTTCGATCGTGGAATCAGATGCGCCCTTCTCCTTATACTATATATGCACGATGGTCCATGTTGGCTGCAAGACTACTGTTGTTGTTGTTGTGTTGATTTAGGGGCGATGACGATCGTGGGATCGGATGCGCCCCGGCTGCCCGATACTGGGAAATAGCGGAGGGATGGGGTCCCTATAGTCTCTTCAGGCCATAGACCCTACAAACTCCTCAGGCCACAAATTTTACAGTCTCTTCAGGCCACGGACATGACGAATGAAGCGGAAGGTATGGCGAAGGATGTCATGACGGACGTCTTCGTCTCTTGCACCTGCCCCGTCAAGGAGAACGGGAACTGTGAGGCAGGGAATATTCAGCCTATGAACGGCACTCTGTAGTCTGACGCGAACACTATGAAATCGAGGGCAGTGAAGAAGAAGGTGCTCCACTGTATCCTCCTGGGTCGGACACCACTGGCAGTATGGGGAATCTACCAGCCGTAGACGATGGAGATGTGCGGCCAGGCAGGTGTGCCCAATCCGGAGACGAGTGATGGCAGTGTCGAGGAGTCGAGAATGATGACGAGTCCATGGACGCAGGGAGGAGTCCTCCCGGAGACCCGACAGAGAGGAGGACCTGAGTGCTGGCTCCATCATTGCCTCCCAACTCGCGAGGCAAGCCGCCCGGAGTTGCGGGAGAATTTTGGAAAGGTCTAGAGGCACAATTGTAGAGTCATGGAGAGCATGCGCCATCCCTGCTGCTGCATCGGCCACCTCATTGCCATTAATACTGACATGTGACGGAACCCATTGGAGATAGATGGACGAACCCAGAGTACCAGAGTATGACAGCAGTTCTCCACGGATCTGTGACACAGTATGACGATGGACTCGTGGACGCCGAGATGATATGAGATGTAGGGCTGTAACCGAGTCCACGTAGAAAACGACTGCAGAGGGCCCTGAAACTTGTCGAAGGAGTCGTAAGGCTACTAAAATTGCAAACAGTTCCCCAGCCAGGCACGAATGAGCAGGGGAGAGTTTCCATGTCTGACAGAAGGAAAAAGGAGCAAAGTATGCTGCTGCAGATGTAGATGGTGGCTGATCTTTGCGGGACCCATCTGTGTAAACCTCCAAGTATCCAGAGTATAAGGAGGCTCGTAGGTCTGCAAAAATTAAAGGGGCCAAACCCTCTCAATCTCTCTTCCGACGAGGAGGCTTGGAAAAGTCGACAGAAACCCGAATGAGCTCTTCTGCCCATGGAGGCACCTATGAGATGATCGGGCCAGAGGTGAGTACAGGGACAGGAAGGGAAAACTGTGAATATGCATCCAAGGCCCAGACGACGAAAGGCAACTGACGACGTCGGGAGCGTCCAGCCAGCACATTCCACCAGTTAGCCTCGAGCTGGAGGCGAGTAGGTGGATGGGTAGCAGGGAGACGCACTATCCATTGAAATTGGCGGCAGTGGACGAGAAGACATTCAAAGCTCAGGGGCCATAGCTCCGACTCGGCATGGAGAGAAAGAACTGGCGAGGAGGGCATAGCTCCTAGCGCTGAGTGAAGGGCACCATTTTGAATGGGATCCAGCCTTGCCAAGACAGATGCTGCTGCTGAGCCATAGACTTCACTTGCATAAATGATCTTGCTATGAATGAAGGCCTTATAGAGAGCTAGGAGCGACTCCCGTGAAGCCCCCATGCCGCACCAGAGAGCCGTTTCATGATGTTCATGCGACGAAGGCATGAGGCCCGAAGGTAGTCCACGTGATGCCTCCACGTCAGCCGAGGGCTATCTAGAATAACCCCCAGCCACCTGTGTTCCGTAGCGATCGGGAGACGACAGCCCCTGATTGTCACCATTGGCTGGTCTGGTAAGCGGGTCCAGGTGAAACTCATGACGCAACTTTTCACAGGGTTAATGGAGAGCCTCTTCCCCAACACAGTTGCTGAGAACACAGTCACGGCATTTTGCAGGAAGCCTTGTGCTTCTAGGAGAGTGGCCGTTTCATGCATCCGCCACGAGGGTTACATCGTCGGCATAGGCTAAAACCTGAACCCTCCAGAATACAGGGAGATCAGACAAAAGAATAGAGAATAATAGTGGGCTCAGAATTGCTCCCTGGGGGACACCACGTGAGACATGGCCAGACGTAGAGACGACTCCACCAACCACCACTTTGAATGAGCGGTCCTGTAGATAGTTTTGGAACCACCTCAACGCCGGACCCGAGAGACCTAGTCGAGCCAGACTCTGAAGGACAGCAGAATGAGACGCAGAGTCAAATGCACTCTTGATGTCGAAGAATGCTGCAAGGAGCACTCTTCTCCGGCGATAAGTGTCCATTATTCGATGTTCCAAGGAGAGGAGGCAGTCCATCGTGCTTCTTCCCGGCCGAAATCCACTGATACCCTCTGGTAGAAGACCTGAGGTTTCCACCACCCATTGTAGCCGGGAGTGAACAAGACCTTCCATCAGTTTCCCGAGACATGGGAGCAGACTTATGGGCCGATATGAACTCGGGACAGACGGATCCTTCCCTGACTTGGTCAATGGTAGAAGAATGGCGTGTTTCCACGGGGCAGGGAAGGCACCAGAGGACCAGCAGGCGTTGTAGAAGTAAAGGAGGTGGACTATTTTTTACAATGATCAGCTGGTGCTTTGGGGGATACTCACCCATATGATTTTCTTATTTATTTGTTTATATAAATATATATTTTTTCTATATTGTTGGTTACTTAATTAAGTGACTAGTACTTTTAAATATTCCACTAGTACAACTCACTAGTTCACTTAGCTGTAAATACTATTATACTGTGAATGATACTTGAGCCTGTTGCGTAGCCGACTACGGTCACCACCACACTTCAATTCCAAACCGTAGACCTATTTCTGCCTATATTTTTATGCTCTATCGCAGCTTCGACACTTCACACGTCACATTTTCTGTGCCAGATAAGTACGACGGGCTCACCATAGCCCGTGCTGCTTGTTTTTTTTGTTCGGAGTTGTTCTGAATCTAAAACAATTCACACATCATCTCGTATAAGGTAAGGTTAAGGGCGACAAAATTAACAACACTGCAAACCAGGCATGACATGGCAGATCTCATTGAAACAGAATACTGAATAATTTGGAGGATGTTGATCCGGACAATTTCTTCAAAAGGTCAGATGTGACACAAAGGAGGAGGAACAGTTTCAAGCTCAAGAAGCCACAATGTCGCACTGAGAACAGATGCTTTTTCACCCACAGGGTTATAAGCCCTTGGAATAGCCTACCCGCCGAAGCCGCAAATTTCAAAATCAAACTGGAAAAGATCAAAGCAAATGAGGGGACCTTCGACAAGCCGCTGGTTTCTTGTCTTCGTCGAGGCCACGTGTTAGTGAGCCTCAGGTAATATGTATGTATATTACCACTAATCCCTAGTGGCTTCGACGAGGGCAGGAAGTCGGTGGTATGTCGAAGGTCCCCCCCCCACATTTGTCTTGATCTTTTCAAGGTATAGTTTAAAACTCAACACAGTTTTGGCATTTACGACTTCGGTGGGTTGGCGGTCTTCGGCGGGTTGGCGGTCTTTATCTTTTCCATACCTGGAAAAGATCAAGACAAATGGGAAAGGGGGACCTTCGACATGCTGCCGACTTCCTGTCCTCGTCGAGTCCAGTAGGGGTTAGTGGTAATATAACCCTGTGGGTGAAAAAGCATCTCCTGTTCTCAGTCCTTCATTGTGGCTGGTTGAGCTTTAAACCATTGCTCCTTGTTTGTGTTACATCTGACCTGAAGAAAATATCCGGATCAACATCCTTCAACTTGTTCAGTATATTAATTTGAAAGTTTATTGCAGTGTTGTTAGCCCTGTGGTCTTCAAGCGTTCCTGATATGAGATATGACTCAGCTCTGGAATGACTTTTGTTGTGCACCTTCTGAAAATGAGGTCTCCATGCTTGGATTCAGTAATCCAAATGGGGGCGCACCAGAGATTTATACAGTTGAACCATTGCTTTCTTTTCCTTACATTCAAAAGTACGCTTGATTATCCCAAGAGTTTGGTTAGCTTTTCTGACTGCTGCACCCACCTGTTGTGCAACTTTTAATGAGTGTTGGATTTTGACTCCAAGGTCCTTGGAGTCAAATATGTATACAATTTTACACTGTACCAAGAAGATCATGCCTATAAGTAATGTATTCAAACCCATTTGATGCTCAAATGGGAACAACATTTATAAATGCAAGGCTTATTTTTTGCATTAAGTACTGCAGTTGAATATTTATTTCATTTAAATGTTTGTCATGAGAAATTTACTAATAAAATTTGTCCAATAATGTATTTTCCTGTACTGCTGTTAATGGCTGCTCTCTGCATTTGGTGCATTTATCACAATAACTTTGAAAGACATGGAAATCAGAGCAATCTACAAGAGAAGTTACAGTGAAAAAGAAAGGAACAAAAGCTGCATGAACATTGAACACTTAAAAAACTGTGTCAAGTGACCATTCTTAAAATAAAATAAAAAATCACCATTGTCTATTTGTTTTACAACTACGTCCTGCTGTCTAAGAGAGGCTCTTGATATATAAATGTATAAATGGGAGCTTACCTTGTGTTTTAATATATATATATATATATATATATATATATATATATAATGGTGAGACACAAATGTACACCAAGTTGTCGAGCTAACAATAAACCAAAGAACTTTTAAAAAATATAAAGGCTAAAGCCCCCGTAGCCTCATGGTAGATCTGTTCCTACTCTTCCCCAACAGCGGCCATCTGTCATATCTTTAAACGGCAACTCAGGAAAATGTCTGAAACTTTAGTATTCTGCTCACTTAAACCAATATTTTATAACCAATACTGGTACCGAAAATAAATGTAATTAACAATTTGTTGTGTCCCCAATATTATGGTTACGACGTGAAAGCAACAAAGTCTGCTGTCTTATGTAACTAAGAGGACAATGGTTATAAAAATACTTGAGAACAATTCTCAGATACTGCCCAGTGCCTGCTGTGGTCACGTCGCTTGACCAGGATCAGACCAACGTCGCTTGCGACCACAGTCTTTCTCCTCTCGCTGGGCCTCATCGCTGGAATGTTGCCTCTCAGTTGTTCTCAGAGCTGCTGGCTTACTCCACACACTAGAACTGGAAGACCCGCCAAGGAAGGGTAGTGATGTGCTTTCTTTCTTCACACTAACTGGACTCTGACTGGGTGGTGTAGAGCTCGGTGGAGAAGCGGCAGAAGCCTGGCTGGACACTTCAGCACTCGGTGATGGCACTTGGCTCGTAGAAGTTTGTGTTGGTGGTGGCATGGCATTGACAGTCTCTGCATCTGGAGCCTTCTTTGTGAGCGAGACACAGACATCACCAACCTGCAGCTGCCGAACCTTCAGGTCATACTTCTTCTGTGTCAATTCCGGGCTGCAGGATGACCACCCGGAGTGAAATACGAAGAAGGGGTGGTCAACAGATGCCTCCACTGATACCTGCAATAAAATATGCACGTTATTCGCAAAATCGTATAAAAGCTGTGCATATATATAGCTCAGGTAAATGTAGAAACATAGCTGCGTTATACGGAGCCTGCATAATAGGTTCAAGAAACACTGGCATAATTATAAACAAAACTGTCCATACAAACTCATATAAAAGTCTCAGAGTATACAGGAGAATCCAGCACTGACAATCTTTATTCTGTTCTGGAAATAGCAGAATAATTTCAACAGGGTAGTTACTACAAGCGTGAATAGTGATGAACGAGAAGGTTGATAAAACAAAAGAATCTAGGAAGCTGCCGAAAGCCTATTGGCCTATACGTGGCAGCTCCTATTTATATCCACCCAAACTCATTCATATATACGTCTAACCTGTGCTTGGAACAATCACGGGATCCTATGTCTATTATGTTACCTGGTACTTTGTTCCACAAATCCACAACTCTGTTAACAAACCTGCAGTAATTACCTCAGGTCTTTCCTAAATCTAAACTTATCCAATTTGCATCCGTTGTTTCGAGTTTTATTATGCGTTTATATATTAATACATTATTCATATCTCCCTTGTTATGCTCATTCATCCTCTTGTACACTTCAAGAGTATACAACACTCTTACACTTCACACTCAACACTTCACCGGATGAAGGAGAATAAATTCACTAGAGCATTCTATTGAATTTATGTCCATTCTATAGTATAGCGACCAAAACTGAATTGCATAATCTAATCTAACAAGAATAAGATATGGCTGGCGAATAAAACCAGATGTTTTATTAGGAATTTATTATTATTATTATTGGGAAAATTGCTTGAATCAATAATTGGAAAAGCCATTCGTCTTCATACCGAAAAACATAGATTAATAAATGATTCTCAAGATGGTTTTACTAACGGTCATTCATGTTTGACAAATTTGCAATAATTCTATTCCAGCAAAGTTAAGGCAGTTGATAGTGGAAAGGTTTGTGACGTTGTTTTCCTAACTTTAGCAAAACTTATGATACAGTTACATGAAAGATTGTTTAAAAAAGATAGGGCTCACGGTATTGGGGTGCCATATTAAGTTGGATTAGGGCATGGTTATACCTAGAAAACAGGTAGTATAAATGGGATTAAGTCAGAGTGGGAAAATGTTGTAAGTTTTTTTTTTATTTATACAAAAAATCAGAATACAAATCAGAATACAAACCACAAATCAAAGAAAGAATAAAACAATAACACAAACTATACACAATCAGCATAAAGCAAACACATAGCACATGAAAGAGGCAAAGAACAGTAAGCAATGACAAAAAAAAAACACACACACAACACGGACAGTAATACAAAACACCCCGATAATCAAAAGGGGAGGAGAATAAAGCATAACCCCAAGCACCCCAAACCCCACACAGAGTTACACAAAATACATATGAGGCACGCTCCAGAAACAGAGGAGCAAACAAGCACACATACCATAAACAACATAAAAGGCACAAAAAAGGCACAAATCACACAACTAACACAAGGCAAACAAAAAGGTACACAAAAAGGCACAAAGCATACTACTAACACAGGGCAAACAAAAAGGCACACGCAGGAGCCAAGGAAAGAATAAAAGCCACACCCATGCACAAACACACCAAACTGAACACACAACCACAGGAGCAAACACAACAGAAACGAAACAACCACACACACACACCCTGCCCAACCCCCGCCATGGAGGCCCACCGGAGGGCCGGGGACCGAAGACGAACCAGAAAAATGCACACTCAAACACTGCAACACGAACATTATGCTCCTGGATCAGAGCCACATCCACGCACTGCTCCTGCAGAACATCCAACAGGCGCAACTGGACCCCAAGATCATTCAAACCTCTAACATTCAAAGTCGCACATACAACAGAGGGCGCCAGCGGGAGAACCTCAGGACACCCCCAAACCGACGCGCCCCTCAGGGAACACAACCGCACCCGCAGTGGGAGCCACACCCATACCACCAGGCTCAACCCCCCGCTGCACCCTGGAAGACGATCAGCCAGGAATCGCCTTAACAATCAAGGGATGGACACCACCCAACGAGGGCTCCCCAGGCACTGATGACACCATCCACATCCTCCGCCGCCTCGAGCCCGACGCCATGCTCATCGCCCCGCTCATCGCCAGACCCCGCTTCTGATGGGGAAGGAGGAACCATGGAAGAAGCGGAGGGAGGAACACCAGCCAAAGCCACACCATCCAAAGCCTCGATCCTCTTCCCAGGGGGTCCATGGCTGTGCGACCGATCCCGCGGATCGCGCTTCCGTCGAGGAACAGAAGATCCCAGCGCAACCCAACCCGTTCTCGCAAATTCGTAAAGTCAATATTGACTTATTAACTACGTGCATAGGTGATATACTAAACATAATACCCTTAAAAAGATTCATAGAAAACACCGACCTTACCTAACCTTGTTAGTATCTTAAGATAAGCATCTTATTGCTTCATAATTACAATTATTACTTAACCTATACCTATTATAGGTTAGGTAATAATTGTAATTACGAAGCAATAAGATGCTTATCTTAAGATACTAACAAGGTTAGGTAAGGTCGATGTTTTCTATGAATCTTTTTAAGGGTATCTATTATGTTAAGTATGTCACCTATGCACATATTTAATAAGTCAATATTGACTTATTAAATTTGCGAGAAAGGGTTGCGCAACCACAGGAAGCACAGCACAACCAACCGCAGACGGCGGCACCACTCCACCAGCCGCAGGAACACCGCAGGGCTGGCCATCAGGAGACACCGTAGCAACACCACCCCCGGCCGCGGGCAACGCACCGGCCACAGCACACGGGTCGCCCTTTGACCACACACCACACGTGTCGGACGCCAAGACGTCACACGGGACGCTATGCACCTCCACCGCTACCAGCATAGGCGTACTTGAAGCAGGAGCCGCGAGAATAGCAGTCAACTGGCAAAGCGTGACCAACCCGTCCTCTTACAAACTACGTCGCATATTTTCCCTCTTATGCGCGCTATGGCCAAAAAATGGACGTAATTTGAAATGAAATCGGCTCACGAAAGTGACGTACTGTCCCGTTTTCTGTTTGAGTTCTCCGGCTTACTCGGTTAGGTTATGAGAGGAAACTTTTAATTGTTGGTTTTCATGACGTTTAGAAACCTTAGGAGAACTTCCTGCCCTCCTAACCTACTAGAGGACTCTTGGTGTTTTTTTGAAAAAAAATATCCAAAATTTATTTTCAATTATTTTTCATTTCGGCCATATGGGCAAACTGCCCGAAACGCTTTGCGTAATAGTGGCTTTAGGCATTGTATGTACTAGCTCTATCTATAAATCCATCAATATCTGTATCACCCCTTGTATGTATGTACCTTACCTAAATAAACATTTGAATTTGAATCGGCCTCATTCAGACGTAATTTATAAGATGTCTTGGCAACATCAGAGGCGGGCAACTGCTCCTTCCACCTTTGATTTATGTTCAGCAGGTGTCAACAGTGATGTAGGTGTCTGGTTCTTGAGATGACTTGCACTGATATGTTTCTTACACAGAGCATGATTTGCCAAGTCCAAGTCTTTAAACTCCGCCTTGCAGTACGTACAGTGAGGTCTTGTATCACCGCCTGGAACACCCATTATCCAGGTCTTTAAACTCCGCCTTGCAGTACGTACAGTGAGGTCTTGTATCACCGCCTGGAACACCCATTATCCAGGTCTTTAAACTCCGCCTTGCAGTACGTACAGTGAGGTCTTGTATCACCGCCTGGAACACCCATTATCCAGGTCTTTAAACTCCGCCTTGCAGTACGTACAGTGAGGTCTTGTATCACCGCCTGGAACACCCATTATCCAGGTCTTTAAACTCCGCCTTGCAGTACGTACAGTGAGGTCTTATATCACCGCCTGGAACACCCATTATCCAGGTCTTTAAACTCCGCCTTGCAGTACGTACAGTGAGGTCTTGTATCACCGCCTGGAACACCCATTATCCAGGTCTTTAAACTCCGCCTTGCAGTACGTACAGTGAGGTCTTGTATCACCGCCTGGAACACCCATTATCCAGGTCTTTTAACCCCGCCTTGCAGTACGTACAGTGAGGTCTTGTATCACCGCCTGGAACACCCATTATCCAGGTCTTTTAACCCCGCCTTGCAGTACGTACAGTGAGGTCTTGTATCACCGCCTGGAACACCCATTATCCAGGTCTTAAGGAGCCACAGCTCCTCTCTGAATTGGACGGTAGAGCGACGGTCTCGCTTCATGCAGGTCGGCGTTCAATCCCCGACCGTCCAAGTGGTTGGGGGCACCATTCCTTTTCCCCGTCCCATCCCAAATCCTTATTCTGACCCCCTTCCAAGTGCTATAGAGTCGTAATGGCTTGGCGCTTTCCCTCCCTGATAATTCCCTTCCCTTCCCTTCCTCTCTGAATTGTTGACCGTACTCCTTAACTTTTGGCATGTTTGTAAAGGGTTATAAATATTAAAAGTGTCAATAACATACAATATAATAAGCTATGGCAACAAAGCAGTATTAGCACTGTTTTGTTGTCATAGTTACCACTTATCTAAATATACTTAATAAAATATACTTATTGGTATACTCTCTAAAATCAGATATTATGTTCCACTACTTTGCTTTTCTTTTATTAGTCTACGCACTCTGTAGTCTAATGTAGTTTATAGCAGATACTCATACGATACTAGCAGTCTCCGTGGTGTAGTGGTAAGACACTCGCCTGGCGTTCCGCGAGCGCTATGTCATGGGTTCGTATCCTGGCCGGGGAGGATTTACTGGGCGCAATTCCTTAACTGTAGCCTCTGTTTAACGCAACAGTAAAATGTGTACTTGGATGAAAAAACGATTCTTCGCGGCAGAGGATCGTATTCCAGGGACCATAGGATTAAGGACTTGCCCGAAACGCTACGCGTACTAGTGGCTGTACAAGAATGTAACAACTCTTGTATATATCTCATATGGTATCTGTGCATGGG